TTTCTAAAAATCTGAATACATTATTTTAACTTGAAAAACTACGATACACAGTTCTCTCAATAAAATACTACTTTTGTCCACTTTTAAAATAAGAGTCTGTAGGACCTTAAACTCTATGTGTATGTGGAAGTATATGTGTATCTAAGAATGAGAAAATACACTTTCCTGGCTATCCTGGAGGAGGGTAGCAAAAAGAATGCTGCTTATATATTTATTTGTTTGCTTATTTTTAGTAATCATCCTATTTGGGTGGGTAAAAGTTTACAGGTTATAATAGTAGAAGCTGACATAAGAAAATTGGAAACATAAATATCTCTTGTTTAAAGCTCTTTTACTGAATTAAAAAAAAAACACAAAAATTAGGCGCTTTAGTATTCTATCACAGGAATGAAAAATGACAAAAAGAAAAAAAAAGTAAGTATTGTGAGTGTTTGCACATATATACAAGTTATCTTGCACATGAAAATAGGAGAAATAAGTTAATTAAATCCCAAGATTCCAGTAGATTAAATTAAATATATGAACTACAGAATATTTAACAGCACACTATGGAAGTAGAGAAATAATCCAGAATTTTTTTTAAGAAACATAACCCTGAAATTCAGATAAATCCTAGTGGATCTGAAACAAATACTCTTTGAGACAAATTATATCCAGTCAGTAGAAAATATATATTTTTTAAAATAAAGTTCACTTGAAATTTGCCAAATTATTATTCTTTTGGAAAATCCTTCCAGCTAGAACAAGTTAATAGTAGGATTCTAAAACTAGGTTTAACATGCTGTAAACCCATTTATTCCCCTCTACAAATCTACTAAAGTATGTCTTTTCTGGTGAAAATGGTTCTTTAATGGTACTTAATACTGTCACTACATTGTTTCTCCAATCAGTCAATGTCAAGGTTTTCTACTTAAGGAGTGGCATTAAAGTCAAATGCTTACTTTTGTCACAAATAATAAACAGCAGAATACAGATTCTTTAAAATAGCATAAGGAACCTTAAAATGTATTACACACAATATATATTTCCTAAGTTTAGAAGAAATGCTTAATAATGCATATATGATCCAAGTTTTACATCCAATAATCCATTCATTATCCTTTTAGCATTAAGAAACAATCTGCACTATCACCTCTCTCAGAGATAGAGGACTCATCTTCCACTAACAGGCATTAGGTAACACCTTTGGCAAGATGGCTTTGATAAAAGACTGAAAAAAATATTATGCAGGGATACAGCCATCCCATGAACTTCCAAGAGCCCAGATCACTATACCAACAGTATGTCTACTGCATTGCAGGATAGGAGCTATAATGAGTGATTGATTGTTTAATTAGCTAGAATGTACTCTTACAGATATACAAACTGACCAACACCATCTTGAATCTCATCCCTGCTGAAAATTCACACACAGAATAAGAGATTATTAAGGACTGCCCAAAGCCGTAGACAACTACCAAAGCAAGGAACTGGGCTTCCCAGTTTAGAGAAAGAGGCAGGAATCATAGGACTTTTAGAGACTGAAGGCAGAATATATTGTACACAATGCATCTAAGACCACAATCTAGCCTAGCATGTCAATGCTGAATTTTTACTCTCAAATGTTACTGTATTTTCTAAGTATGAAATGAGAAATTACAATGTTAGATTTTTATTAAGATAAAACTATTTGTTGCAAATTTTATATAAATAAAGAACAAAGAAAGAATAATTAAGGACAGAAAGGAGGGGGAAATGGTCAAGTGTGACCCAGGGGAAGAAATCCTGAGACTGCGTCTGTCACAAGGGTTGTGTCACAAAATCTTGATATGCCTCAGTGTTCCTTAAAATTAAAGGGTTAGGCTAGGGCCACAGTCTTTACTTTTCTCCTAGAGTAAAATCCTGCCATCTGTTTAGGTATCCTAGAAAACTCGAGTTTTTGTAATATCCTAAGAACACCTAGCAGCAGCAGAAAAACGTGCTTACGATGTTTAATGACAATAAAGGGAAGAATGAAAAGGGTCTAAACAATCCCCCCAATCTTGCATTTTTCAGTTTATACTAGGCTTAAGAGGGCAATTGAAGTTAGATGCTTCATTTCATCCCACAATAATTCTTATTATAATAAAACATTTAATATTCCTTTAAAATATCAAAAAAAAAAAAAAAAAAAGAAAAGAAAAAGAAACAGCTTCACCTTACTCAAATGAAACTTAATGGATCTGTCTCATTTGGAGGGTTGCAATGCCTGAGCTACAGTGTGAGTATCAGGATGTGAAAGCAGCTGTCACTGCTTTGTTTTTCATTCACAGTAGGTGGTTGCCAGGCAACAAAATACTATTGTCTGTTTCCATGATCTATTGGCCAATTCTTCTGGTGATAATGCTTTCTACAGTTTAAAACAGGGCCACCTTTTGGACAAAAAGAGATGAGAAAAAAAATTCCAAGGATGATAATAACATATATATGAATAAATATACTGAATGTACCCTAAAATTATGTGTACATAAATATACAACTGTGTGCTGATATACATACAAATATTTTGCACGTATGCATATATGATTATATACATTCCCCTACATACAAACTCATATAAATTTCATAGGCCCACAACTTGAATCTAAATCCCTTAGGAAAATCAAGGCATGAACTAGAGAAAAAAAAAACAGAATTATTTTCTTAACAACAGCAATAATTTCCAGTTTATCACATATATCAAATCCTGTTTCCTGAATAGGAGGTCCTCCAGTCAGAAAAGCAATTCTGTCTACTTATATAAAAATAATAATAATGGGAAGCTTTTACAATCTACTTTGGAATCATGTAATACATTTAATATGTTGTTTTACTATCATATGCTACCAGTATGTACAAAGATAATTCAAAGAGTGTTGCTGTTTACACCCAAGAATCTTAAATTTTATTCATCTTAAAAATAATTGAATTGTTCTCCCTGAAATAGCCTCATGTGATTCCCCACTTTGTTTTGATATGGGTCCCTGGGGAACAACAGTCATGCTATGTTACTCTTGCATATTTCAATAGCTTACAAATAAAATAACACACAGTGTACTCAATGTAAAGTTGTCAACATTAACTTGCATCAGTTGCTGTTTGTTTTGCATTGACAAGGCTTCTAAAGATAAGAATTACAATATTCTTAGATGTACAAACACAACATCGAAACGGCCTGAAGGAATTAAAGCTGGAAAATGCTAGAGGCAATCACGCTTTGAAATGAAGAGAAATCAGTATCATTTATACATACACACATATTTCTTCAAAGGCTCTAAATAACGCCAGAACAATCTGCATTTTATGCAATGCTCATCCGTCTTCCCTCACAATATTCCGAAAGCACTTTAAGGTATCCCTTCCAAGAGGCCTTTCACTTTTTGAAACTCATTATCACTTTCAAATCTGTATATTACAAGAAACTGAAATAAGCAATATCCATTACATGAATAGACATTATTAATATAAAGTCTCTATCAAAGCGGCAACGCTAGCAAAACAAAAGCAGAATGTGTTAACCATGAGCTAAGTACCAGCCAATATTACCACTTTCCCTGACAGATCTCTCTCCAACAGTACGCACCTACCTCTTGAGAGTGCCCACCAGGTTTCTCCCTCACATCTCACCCCACAAATGACCCACTTCCTCCTCTCTCAGCTTTCCAAGCTCGCTCACCTGTGTCTCTCCTTCAGGAATCAATTTCCTTTCCACTTTATCCGCCTTCGTCAGATCCCTTAAGCACCCTTCATTACTTTCTCTAAACTACCAGACTCAAATCTGCAGCCCAGTTGGCCACGAATCTCTCTCTCCATATGCTCTTATTTCCTGAATTCTCCTAGGTCTGCTTTTAAAAATTGCTACCACCAAACAAATGCAAGCTTAATAAATTAGGATTAAAAAGCCCGTTTCTTTTTTCTTTTAATGTTAAAGCAGTGAAAGATTGAGGGAGAAAAAGAGAGAAACAGGAGTGCATCTGGGTGAAGGAGCGTGGCTCAGTGGCCATACAGTGAGACGCAGGGATTCCACAGAGTTGGGCTTGCCCACCTGTCGACCCCACTTTCCCCATGTGCTCGCCGCGGGATGACAACGACAACACTCCAGAACCACCCCCCTCCGAAAGGGGGCGGGGTTACGCCTTCAGCCAATCAGGACCCGAGAGCACCGGGTGTCCAACCTATGGGGTGGCTGTGGCCGTGCAGGGGGAGGACGTGGGGTGGTTTGGGAGGGGCCGCGTCCGTGGGAGGCGCGCACGTGTCGGGTCCGGAGAGGCGGGGAGGCTACCGGCGTCCAGGGGACGAGGCGCGAGCTCTGCACCTTAGCAGCGGCCGGGTCCGGCAGCCCCAGTGCCTCCTTTGCCTCGCGCGGGGCCTGGCTGGGCGCGCTTCCGCCGAGTAAGACCTGTCCAAGGTGTCCGAGCTCCCCGGGAGAGGGGGCAGTCACAAATAACAACAGTAGTACCCAGCGCAGACCAGGCTGGGAGGAAAGTTTCCGGCCCGCAGCAGAGCGGAGTCCGCCACCAATGGAGGAGAAGGGATGCAGGGCGGGAGGGTGACAACCTGCAAAGAAGAGGGCAGCGGGAGCACTGCGCGGACAGGACCGGGTCCCGGGGACGACGCCCGCCGGGGGCGACAGGCGCGGGGTGCGCTGTCCAAGGTGCAGGGGAGGTGACTGGCGCGCGCGGGCGCGGAGCCCGGAGCCGACACTGGCTGGCGGACGGCGGGGAGAGCGAACAACAGCTGTCTGGGGCGCGGGGCACCCCCGGGCTCGTAAAAGTGACGGAGCTTGAGCCAGGGCACAGCGGGGAAGAGTGTGGGGGCTGCACCGAAGCCCCCACGCGTCCACGCACCCCTCCTTACCAGCCTCACCTCTAGCTCCACTCCCCTCCCCCCTCGCCCACTCCTCTCCCAGTCTAGATCCAGGTGCCCTGGCGTGGGCGAGACCAGAAGACCCCGGCTCGGAGCCCGGACGCCCGAGGGATGCTGCGGGCCCCGGAGCTGCTTACCTGGGGGCGCCGTATGGGGAGCGGAGGCAGCCCGCCGAGCGGAGTGGGGCGCCGGGCGCGGCGCGGCTCCTCCTAGCCTCGGCGTCCTCCTTCTTTGCTTCTCCCGGACTCTGTCCCGGGCACGGAGCTGGGAGATGGGGCCGGGCTGCAGTCGCCGTTCCCTCCGCCGCCGCCGCCGCCGCTGCAGCAGACAGAGGACGCCCCGTGGCGGCTGGAAGCCTGTGTGAGTAGCGGCGCCTGGGAGAGCGGGGATCTGCTGAGGGGCGCTGGAGACTCCGCGGCTGGAGGCGCGCGGGCGTGCGCACGCGCGCCTGCAAATGTGAGTGTGTGTGTGTGTGCGCGCGCGCGCGCCCACGGGGTGGAGGAGTCGCGAGGGGAGGGGGAGAGAGGCCGAGAGATGCTCGTAGGGACCGAGGCAAAATTCTGCGCTCCCGGAAATCCGTAAACGCGGGGAAGGAGGATCGAACGCGCGTCTTGCTTGGAAAAGCTGCCCACGGGGCGGCAGCAGAGGAGAAGGGGAAGGCAGCAAGGCGCGCCCGGGCTCCGGATCCCAGCCCGGCGGAGCGGAGCGGAGCGCGCCGCCACCGATGCAGCAGAGCAGAGGCGGCGCCCGCAGCCCACGGTCCCGCTGCCCCCTCTCGGGAGGGGCCGAGGTCGCTCGCTCCCGCCGGAGCCGTCGCGGCGGTCGGGACTGCTCTGCTGGGCGCTGGGTAACCGAGAGAGGGACCACACGGTTGCTACGGCGACCTTGGAGGCTCCGGGCCAGCTGAAGGGCCAAGAGGAGAACCCGGGCGCACGTGGCTGACTACTGGCCGGAGCGGTCATGTGCCAGGGTTGTGGGCTTCGGGTAGATGGTGGAATTGGGCCGCGCGGCCTGAGCAGAGGATGCGGTGTATGCGACCCAGCGTGGCTCGGCCAGGGTGCGGTCAGTGTGCAGGTTGGTAAGGGTGGGGGATCCTAACCCCAGGTAACGTGTCGCCTTTTTTTCCTCTTTGGATGCTACTTTTCCTCAAAGTTACCCACTTCCCAGATAAGAGTGCTGGCCTCCTCTTTGTTAGGATTCAACTTAGCTCTGCAGGCATCCAAGCAGTGCCTCCTTCAAATCAGGCTCGTCCAAGAGTCGATCCCACCCCACAACTCCCGCTCCTCCTTCATCCCACCTACATTGTAATACCTAAGAAGTAAATGTTTAAAGCACATTACATGCCCTGCCTCTTAAAAGATATACTGTCCTAGTGGTGTACTTTTCCTTGCTTATTTTAAATTCTGAGTGGAATTTTATTCAACCAAGCATTTCTTCAAGGGTCTTAAAGTCTGAGTAATACTTGAAATACCCTTCCTGGCAGGAATCCTCAGTTGCAGGGATTGTGTTTTGCATACTTTTGCATGCCCTCCAGTGCTTAGCATAGTACCCTGTACACTGTGAGCTCCCTGTAAATGCTGAATGAATGACATTGTTTTTCTAGCTTCACATAACCTGAAGGCAAAGAGTTGGATGCTGGGAAAGTCATTACCACCCCACTAGGCTTACTTGATTTTAACTTATGCCATTACCCTGTGTGTGGCTATTTTCCCCCCTGGCGGTCAGAACCCAAGCGCAAAGAAAGACAACAATACTGATCCATTGTGCACCCTTAACAAAGAGTGCACGCAGAAGCACTCTGCAGGGAACCCAGTGGCATCCCCTGGGTATGAGAGGGCCAAAGCTTGGAACCTAACCTCTCAAAACATGAAAGTCGCTCTTCATAAGCAGTTTATAATGTACCTTCTAGAGCAGAAGGATAGGGGAAAGAATTTTAAGAGAAGTACACTGTTTATTGTTTTGTTTTTGTTTTTTTGAGATGGAGTCATGCTCTGTCGCCCAGGCTGGAGTGCAATGGCACGATCTCAGCTCACTGCAACCTCTGCTTCTTGGGTTCAAGCGATTCTCCCACCTTAGCCTCCCAGTATCTGGGATTACAGGTACCCGCCACCAAACCCAGCTAATTTTTTTGAGTTTTTAGTAGAGAGGGTGCTCACCATGTTGGCCAGACTGTTCTCCAACTCCTGACCTCAAGTGATCCACCCATCTTGGCCTCTTAAAGGGCTGGGATTATAGGCATGAGCCACCATGACAGGCCAGAAATACACACTTCTAATAGCTTCTCAGGTACGTATTTTTATCTTGTAAAGAGTAGTGTTCATGCACACTGCCCAATACATGCAGGATCACCCCAGACTGCTAATTCTGCTGTCTGGTGAAGCACCAAGTCTACATCCTTCAACCTCGGTATTTCTACAATCATCCTCTTAGAAGCAGAAGTCTTCAATTTTGCATTCCATGCTAAATTTCAATTCCTTTGAACTAGGCTCACCTATGAGCTGCTTCTATCTCCACTAATGATACCACAGCTGTGAAATATAACTGAAATAAAGTGAAAATTAAAATGGATTTATTTGGGTGCTGCCTTGTGGTCTCTAGTGGGGGGTTCCTGTAACTGACTTCTCTACCTGCACTCAATTTACAAACTTCTTAGAAGACATTTATTGTGATATTGGAGTTTTTTGTTAGGTTGAAAGCTTAGATATTTAAATTTTTCACTTGAAAGTAGCTCTAAAACTTGCAGAAGAAGCAGAAAAACTCTAATGCCAAAAGTGGATGCTTGACAGCCAACCTATAGAATGGGTATGAGTCAGAATTTTCCAAAACAATTGTAAAGCTTCATTTTCCTTAGAAAGTTGCTCTTAGGGTTTTGTTGGGCTCAAAGAAACTGATACCTGAAAATATGGAACTTTGACATGCTGGACTAAAGAAGCAGCTGCAAGGTCTCTTTGACCTTCTTGTGTCTCCTGTCTCTCAGTCTGCTGTCTCACCCAAAGCACAGGGTGAAGTTGTTCTCTGAAGTTCTTTTATGTACCTAGAAACCAGACCTGCCAAAGAAGAATGCACCTACCTTCCCTGAGTTTTTATTAATCTAACTTACATTCCAGGAGGATAGACTGAAGCCTGACAACATAACTGGACATATGTTTGTCACACTGCTCTTCAGGCCCAACAGACTTTATCCCAGGCCATTGTATGTTTACCAAGCTCATTGAACTCCACCAAAAATTCTTTACTATCGCCCATAAAATCATCCACATTTCCCTTTCTATTCTTCCCCTGGGAAGGATATATGAGCATCTGTACCCCATTGGGTTATTGGGCAATTATTCTGCAATTCCCTTGTGTTATGCAAATGAAAATAAATTTTGTATATCTTTTCTCCTATTAATCTGCCTTTTGCGAGTTGATTTTCAGTGAACTTTCAGAAGGTTAAAATCCTACAATTTTAACAGCTTCCCAAGTGCTTGCCTTGGTGGGTGGACGAATGTTAATAAAGCTGTAACTTCTCTGATGACCACCAAAGGGGGCAGTTGGGTCTTTATAAAAATAAATACACTTGGCTGGGCACGGTGGCTCACACTTGTAATCCCAGCATTTTGGGAGGCTGAAGCAGTTAGATCACCAGGTCAAGAGACTGACCAACATGATGAAACCCCGTCTCTACTTAAAAAATACAAAAATTAGCTGGGCATGGTGGCACGCACCTGTACTCGCAGCTACTCAGGAGGCTGACGCAGGAGAATTGCTTGAACCCGGGAGGTAGAGGTTGCAGTGAGCTGACACGCCACTGCACTCCAGCCTGGTGCCTGGTGACAGGGCAATACTCTGTCTCAAAGAAATATAAATACATACATACATACATACATACATACATACACTCACTTAGCCGGGCGCGGTGGCTCACACCTCTAATCCCAGCACTTTGGGAGGCTGAGGCCAGCAGATCATGAGGTAAAGAGATTGAGAACATCCTGGCCAACATGGTAAAACCCATCTCTACTAAAAATACAAAAATTAGCCGAGGATGGTGACGCATACCTGTAGTCCTAGCTACTCGGGAGGCTGAGGGAGGAGAAGCACTTGAACCTGGAATGTGGAGGTTGCAATGAGCCAAGATGGTGCCACTGCACTACAGCCTGGAAGACAGAGCAGGACTCTGTCTCAATAAATGAATGAATGAATACACTTTTAAGAAACCAACATTTAAAAATAAGAATGTAGGCATATAGCAATCTTAATGTATGTTAACTTAAAAATAATGTATGTTAACTTATAAATAATAAGTTAATGTATGTTAACTTAAAAGGTAAATAATAGAATAACAACATGGATATATAGTATTTCTGACCAACTTAAACATAAAAGTTTGGAGGAGCCACTAGGATTATATGCTATCCACCCATAGCTCCTCCTACTACTTAAGTACTAGGTAGTAATAAAATGTACAGCCGAGATGTCCAGTTTTATGTGTTATTATCAGCTGGATTTAAAATCAATAGCATATTTGTAAAAGCTCTATTTTTCGTCCTAAAAAGGGAATGCTGTTTAACATAACTGCTTTATTCAGTTTGCAGCCATGCAGTAAACTCGCCAATCATTAACTTAAAAACACAGGATGGTGAAGGTGTGGGGCCTATGGAGAAAGATTCTAAACTGATTTGATGGTAACTGTTTTGTCAGTCTAAATTAAAAAAACAAGGCTTTCTACCTTTAAAGACTGTTACCTTTAGACTGTGAGATGTACCATGAATTCCAAAGTCAACTCCTCATGCTAGGAGCCCATTGCCCCAAATTCTCTGAAGTGAGAAGGCAGGGACCGTTAGCTGAAATGCTGTTGATTTTAGTGAGCACACATAAGGATACAGGTAATGTCCCCCATAATTAAGTCCCAGACCACTTAGTCCATTAGAATTTTAAATGATTAAAAAACACCTTGACCTACACCTGGAAAGAAAGCACCAACTCAGTTGAGAGTTTAGCACAGGAACAAGAAGCAGCCTCAAGTCATCCTGTTTGTATCCATGTTTTTAAACATTGTCTTATTCCACATACTATTTAGGAAAACTTAATTTTTGACTGGAGATCAGACATCTTTAGGAAGGTAAAAAACAAAATCAGATAAAAAAATGTTGTTATAGTTTCTGCAAAGCAAAAGAAGACTGCGTTTCTTTCTTAGTCATCATTGCTGACATTTGGGGTGCAGGTAGACATGTTTAGTATCAGTGATTCTAACAGTTTATGGAGCAATGGATTTCCAAGAAACTGAAGAAAGCTATGGATCCTTTCTTCAGGAAAATGAACCCATGAATGTGTAAAAAATGTTTGAATACAATTTCAGGGGGTTAAGGGAACTTCCTCTGAAGCCCAGGTTAAGAACTACTGCCTAGGCCGGGCGCGGTGGCTCAAGCCTGTAATCCCAGCACTTTGGGAGGCCGAGGCG